CCCCATTAGGTTCAGCGCTAGGCAACTTCACCTTTTACCTTAATGAAGAATATATTTGAAACTAAATTAGATTATCCTTTAAGAAGGAGATTTTGAAGAATTTGCTTTAAAAAGGGTGAAATTGGCTTTTTTTAGGGTAGCTTCTTTTTAATATTTACCATGTGTAAGCCAGCATTTGGATTAATAACAGTTGCTGTCTTGTTTAAAGCTCTGGAATCAGATACATGCAGAATGAGCACCAGATAGAAGTGGATTTCTTTGAAGGAAAATGTTATTCTGTCATTTTCACAGTATACAGACTAAAAAGTGAAAAGATACAATAAAATATTTTAAGGTATACCCATAACTAACTTTTGGTTCATGTTTACATTTTCATCATTATGATGATCATTGTCCTACAGAAAGAAAACTTTTGGTTTGTGTGTGAATAAACGAATCATCAGCGACCAGATTGAAATGGTCATAAGGGTTACAGAAGTTCTGTTTGTCAAATTCATGTCAATTAAGAATTTTTCATACTTTATTACTGTTATCACTATTTAGCATGAAAAGTTAGGTAGAATCTTAAGCGAAGTGAAAAAACTGTAATGTAGATGAAAGTAATTTGAAGAATGTTACAAGTTCCATGCATAGGGTTCTTGCTGCTGACATTCTTATTTTCATTAAGACAAAGTTTGACCATTCCTTGAGTTACTACTCTAAGGTAGGAATGTGCAGGCTGACATTTTAGTTAATTATTTAGTTTAATATTTATTAATTTAGTTAATTAAAAAAAAACTAACTTATATAATGTGTTACATATATTTAATATTATTCTTGAAGTCAGGATTATGCCTTCAAATTTAAATCAAAACCACAGTCTTCACATTCTGTATTGCAGATATTCATTTGACACCATCTATAATCTATATTTTTTTATACCAGTATCAAACAGGAAGAGTGAATTTTTATGCTTTGTGCAGTCATGTGGATTGAAATGAATATAATATTGAAAATTAAATCTCTTTGGCACCACGAAGCACATGATAATAAATTTATTTAAACTTTCCAAAGTATAATATCTCCCCCCCCCCCAATATGTTCTGAGCTGTTTGTAAAGTCAAGTGAATTTGTTGCATTCTAGGAATTGTGTTTGACAGTTAACGCACTTTAGTGCTGAGAAAAGTAAGTTAAACTTCCTCTTTGCAAGGTGATGTCTTACACAGGGATATTACTGTTTTGGGGAGAAACCACTCATATATTTACTGCACCATAATCTACATATATGTAAAATAAGATTAATGCTTTGGAAATATTCTTGTATAGAGTTATATGTTTATAAATGCGAAGAAGTAACACCACTGAATGAAGAAAAGGTATTATGCCACAAGAAAATGGCTACAGGAATGTTAGAATTGACTTGGTTCATGTTGAGAGGTTAGTTTATGATATCTAAAAGTAAATTATGTTTCAATGATGTGTTGGTATGAGTCTGACTTTCTGATGACAGTGCTTGAGTGGGCATTATATTAACAAATTAATTAAGCTATTTTAAAGTTTGAGGCTTAATTACAGATCTGCATGTTAAAAAAAAACTAATCTGGAAGCTCCAACAAGCCATGCAATTGTTCAGCTTTCTGCATGAGTGACAGCTTTGATAGATTTAAAGTACAGAAAAAAAGTGCCTATAAGTAACAACCAAAATATTTACTACAATACCATAATAACATTCAGCCTGGAAAATTAATATTCATTTCAAGAAGGTAATTCAGTTGCATTTTCCTTGACAAACTGGGCGCCTTATTTAAGCTGTATTTCCGAAATAAGGTATATGGTTATATCTCAACAATTCTGATAAGTATTCTTTCCTTTTAGACACTTATATATCATATAAGTATGAAGTTCAGTTTTTAACAATTCAACATGAGTTAGGCATCACTCATTAATATTATATTTGGGTCAGTCAGTAACACCTCCAGAGCAGAAGAACTAAATGTGACACAGCCCTGATCTTGCACCTTATTTCGTGTTTATAGCTTTACCGAGGGATAAGGGCTAATGAATTACTACCAACACAGTTCATTATCTTTTGTATCAGGGCTTTCTGTCACAACACTTCTATAAGACTTACAAACATTTCAACAGGAAATTTAGCTTCATGATATCAAAAAGTACAATGCTGCAACTCTACTGATATTGCAACTTGGAATCCATTCTGCCATACTGAGTATAGTGCTCGACTATTTAGTACATGGTCTGACAATGAAGTTCACGAACTCATCACGGTAAAATTGCTGCATGAAGCTAGATCTGGTGAATAGGAGGACGTTCCAGCACAATTATTTGTTTACTAGCTGAAAGCTCCCTTACAGACAGTGTCGTGTGGGCAGGTGCATTGTTGTGATACAAGATCCATGAGTTGTTGGTGACGGCACACCAAAACACACTCAGACAGAGACTGCCATAGATCAACAACAACACAGCTGTGAAATGCGATATGCCAATATAATCAAAACATACAGAGGTTTCTATCTGGTGCTGCCACTGCAAGCACACGGTGGTGAGTTCGCGAACTTTATTGTCAGACCTTGTATATCAACAGATTAGTTAAAATGGGAAGCTGTATGTTTGTTTCAAATCTTCATAAATTCAGAAAGTAAGAACTTTCAAATTGTTCTCCTCCCCCCCATTTCAGTTGAGGAATGTTGATTATGTCAGGAGAAGTGATATATCTCACCCAGAAAACTTTACTTCTTGATGTGTTATAAATATGTCAACAGGTGATAGTGTTTGATATTTAAGTGTTTTGGTGAAAGAAACAAGAGTGAGGGTCAGTCACCCTGATTGTGAGTGGAAGTACTCAGCACTTATATGCAACTTGATACAATTGTAAGACTAAAACTGTTTGACAATTAGCTTATTTGAAAGAAGCAAAGCACTGCCTCTTTCCATGCTGGATTGATGTTGAATATGTAAGAAGATGTGTAGCCCCTGTCACTTCAATGTAAGGCTGTAAGTAATATTTAATTATTGATTCATGTAGTGATGAGATGGCTGAAAAGATTGCTGTACTTACTATTTCATGACTGCAGAAATTGTGATCTAAGTATTCCTTAAGTACAGTAAATTTTAAATTTATTTCAGCTGGCATGGTCTTGTAAGAAGAGAAGAAATGTATTCTGTGTGAACACCAGATGCCCCCCTCCCTCCACCCACACTCATCTGCTGAATCTGTAAGTGTTCATATTACCAAGCTTAAAAACAAACTGTTTATTTGGAATTTTCAAATTTTGTATTTACAAATGAAAAATAAAGTGCTTATAATGTTTTATTTATTGTAGAAAATTGTGATTGTTACAAAATATTTGTAAGTAGCTTGCCTACGTTCTCTGTATATGCATTAAAGCACTGAATATTATTCAACTTTCTTCTTCTTTTTTATTATCTCTAATATACATGGAGAAGAAGTAGATTTATCTCTCAAGAAACTTATTGCTTGAAGTGTTCTTATGCCCCTTTCATTTTCACATACGACTTCAAACTGGAACTAATTGATAGTCCCACTTGCGAGAGGTGTCAAGAAGAAAATGAAACAGCCACACATATCCTGTGTGAATGTGAGGCCTTAGCTTATTTAAGATTATGTCACTTGGGTCAGTACTTTATGGAACCAAGTGACTATTTTGATGCCCCCACGTACAAAATTGTGCCCTTCGTTCAAAGTGCAGGATTGCTGAGGGGATAATCAAAAGGGGAAGCACAATAGACCACTGTAGGTCACGGTGCAAGGGCCAAGAAGGCCCACCCCTTATACATACATTCATTCATTCATTTATTCATTTTCACATTGTACCTTTCCACTTTACATTTCATCCTTTAAAGCCAAAACTTAATAGCAATTTGGTAAAGCTGCAGAAGTGTGGTGAAACTGAGCCGTTTGGTACTGTGACCTGAATTAGGCCTATTGTTCCATCTGCTGAAGATAGATTAGTTTGGAGTGTAGTTGAAGAGACCAGTGGCAGAGGAAAACTGAATTGCTTGAACAGAAACATGTCCCAATGCCTATTCATCCACCACAAATCTAACATGGACTACCCTGTAAATATACCTTGCTTTCCATGGTGAGAAGCTTGCAGCTAACCACCTGAGATATGGAAGACCAAAAGTGATTCACTTATGAAGGATCTGAAGCTATCAAGGTGAGTAAATGCAATGACATCTTCTTAGGAGATTCGTCCCGTCAAGATGGAATGGATTCCCAGCATTTTGGAGACTGTCACTGTCTTCATTATCAGAGGCTGGTATGATGAATGGCACAAATCATCACATCAGTCTCTAATGATGGAAATGGTGACATTTTCCAAAGCATTGGAAATCCATTCCATCTTGGCATTGCTCAAAATTTTCACTGAATTTGGGCATTTAACAAATATGTTGTCATCATCTATAATCATAGGAGTCAAGAATCGGAGTGTTGTAATTGCTTTGTGAGAACATTTGGAAACATCATTTTTTCAACAAGTGTGCAAGAAATTGAATCCAGAGTACAAGCATCTGCTGACCAAATATGGCACCAATATTTGTCATCATATCTTGACCAAGGGAGCTGTAACTCTAAAATGCTGTGAAATTTGAATTTGAAGAAGGGAAAATTTTACATATAATTCTGTTATTTTAAAACATTATTGCAGATTTATAGTTTACTTATCTGCGGTGGTTCTGTATATATTTGCTGTTTACCAAAAGAAGTGACAATGGAAACCAACATTGGAGGACTTTATTGAGGAATAAAAGATTCAGTGTAACCTCTTGAATAACACTTAAAGAGACTAATGATATAATTTGAACTCCAAGATTTAATTTTGTTAGGTCATCAATACAATATTCAGCTGTAGATGATTTTTCAAAGGTGCAGACAGACACAAAGTTCCATTTTAGTGGATGAAATGCATAAAGTGAATATGCTTACACTAGGGTAACCAGGCTACATGTTCACCTCTTGCATATATGTGGTGATGTTCTGTTATTTATCAACAAACATCTGTGGGCATGGTAGCAAAATTGTATAAGCTCTATTAACCTTTAAGTGCCGAAGTGCCCCGTTTGTGCCAGTCAGGCATTTAAACTCGGCTAGTAGAAGCACATGCACAGTCCTAACTCTTTATTTTTAAATGTAGTAATTACCAGACAGACTTGAGTAAAACCCTAATAGAGGAATTAAATTGATACTTAAAAGAACAACAGCAAATAAAAATATAAGTGTGAGTTATGCCAAAACTTATCCACGATCCAGTAATTGTATTGCAGATTCTGCAGATAGGTATGTTAAAAATATATTGTAAAATTCGATGTACATACCTTTTTTATTGTTACCTGCTTGATGTATATATAGGCTGAAATTATACTACAGTATTCGATTTCATTACGAATGCACAGAAAACAGATCACACTCTGTATCTTAGCCATGATGCAGCTGTCTGCTCATTCAAATAGAAGGGGCAATAAAATTTTGCAGCTCTAACGGAAGGTCTTAGCACTGAAGAAGGGACCCCTCTAGCTTTCTCTTGAATAGCCATGCTTTCATTCTTCTATCCTTCAGTCAATATTTTTGAAAATCCGAAGAGTGTAAGCAGGGCTAGCAGAAGACCAAATGATTTTATTGCTTCCATCTGTTTTATGACACCAGGGACTGCTAAAATTCATCCAGCGTTACAAAGAGAAATGAATTTATAATGCAGAACAACTCTGTGAAGAACTGGGAAACCATTTTTGCAGTATCCATCAAAATTAAAACAAAAAATTGAAAATAGAGTATAACACTTTGTATTAAAAATTTCAAATCTTACGTTATAATATGTGACACTATGTTCTTTGCTGATATAAACAAATTTAATACCATCCATTTATCATAAAAATTGAGCACGATACAGCATTTTTAAACAACGCTTAAAATTGATTAAGCGCCTAATAGGAACGGACATTTAAACGCAGAGTAGCAACGGGCATTTAAATAAACTCCGGCCAGCTCAAGCTTACCACTATTTCGAAGTCCGGCGTTTAAAGGTTAATAGAATATTTTGAATACTCTTATATTTCTCCTCAAAATCCAAATTTGGTAAAAGGTTAAGATAGCTTTGCTTAATTTAATTCATTTTTTTTTTGTGTTTTATTTCTGGCCTATTCCAATTCAAAATTAATTTTTGAAAGTATGAAGCTTTTATACACTTGCTAGGTCTCCTTGGATGGATGGTCAGCCAATCTCAAGACCTGTATCTATACAGGGCAACACAACCACAAAAAAACATGGACAGACATCCATGCTCTAAAAGGCAGTCCCAGTGTTCTAGGATGTGGAATATGTCAGATAAATACAAAACATATGTACAGTCCCAATTTAGTTCTCACACAAGAGAAACCAAGAATATGCAGTGACTACACACAAGGCTATTTAAAGATACATAAGTTATTTTCTAGACAATAGGTATTCATCAACAGAGTAGAATGAATGTGTATTTAAGTATTGTTTCAGTGCTATTTTAAATCATGTCTTTTCATTCATAAGACCTTTGAGATCAGATGGCAGGTTATTAAAAATTTTGATTCCAGCATAATATGCGCTTTTCTGAAAGCAAGAGAGGTTAGCAATTGGTTTATGAAGACAGTGTTTGTGTCTTGTGTTAACACTGTACATCCACATTCGTCTGAAAATGTTCTTCGTTATTTGCAATGAAGTTTATTAATGAATATGTATATTCACAAGGAAAAGTTAAGATCTGTAGTCTCTTAAATATAGTAGATCTGTACAGGAATTACGGGATTTGACACCCATCATGATTCTAACAATTTTCTTTTGCAACGTAAATACCTTTTTACTGTCAGATGAATTACCCCAGAAAATAATTCCATACCTCATTAAAGGGTGAAAGTAAGCAAAATAGATTGATTTGAGAGTGTCATTGTTACTAATATGTAACATGACTCTACATAGCTCTATTTAGCTTTGGAATCAACTGATTGGTATGGGTTTTTTCATTCATTCATTTATTTCATTTCTGTTAATCCAGGCTGGTACAACCGTTGGATATAGAGGAAGTCAAAGAACATACAGTCATAAAAAGATTTTGTCAAAATTAAATATAAGATTAACAAGCAAATATAAATATTA